AGCATTAGAGTCTTTGAGGAGAAATGAGACCAACAAAACCCTGAAGACCACAAGACAGGGAGAGTTAGTTGGATCAGAGAGACCTCCCATTCAGAATGAACTGGCTGAAAAAGTCATAGAGGTTGCTGGCGGCCAGTCCGATAGTGACAGATCTGATAGTGATATTGACCCAGCTGAGTTTGTAAACCGTGTAAGTTTTCATACATGTCCTTCTGAGACAGATGTGGAGACAGACGTGGAGCAAAGTAAAGTTAAACAGCCGGCAGAGGATAAAAACTCTCCACGTGTCGGTCATCGAAATGATCCGGGCAAATCGCCTCATGAAGAAGTTGTGGGAAAGACTGATTCTGCTGGATTTAAAGCGAATGACGGGAGAAACAGGCAGTGGGAAGAGGAAGAGGTCCCATTTAAAATAAATGAAAGGCGAGTTACATGGAAACATAGTTCTTCAAACTCTAATGAAATCACACAACAGGACTTACTTGTGAGAAATGGACACTCGTTGTTGCCAGATGTGGAGAAAAATGCCACTTTTAGCCAATCCATGCCAAGCACTTCTTCATCCATCAAGCCTCTAGTAACTACACCGACATGTAGGGCAAGTGTAGAGACAGAGAAACCACATCTGGATCCATATGATGACACTCAAGGAATCAGGAAGAATTCTTTGTGCAGCCAACCAGAAGATGACAATGGTTCCCTCACAGAATCAGGGAGGTTCATCAGGAACGTGATGTCTCCTCGCTTACGGAAGAAGCATCCGAAAAATCTGCAACCATTTATCCACCCTGATACTTCCAAGAAAGCTGCGAATGGATTGGAGGTTCCTCCCAATACAAACTTCAATGGGAACCAGAGAAGAGCATCCAACCCTTGCGTTAAACCCCAGGATTCGCACAGAGTGCTAAAGCTGGGATTTCTAAAAAACAACCATGAAGCGTTATGGAACGGGAGATGCTCACCTGAGACGCTCTCTGAACCCGAGCAGAAGCCTGATGGGAACCGGCAAACAAAACCCAGACTAAAGACACAGAGGAGCGCCTCCATCCCGGAGATCAGCTCCTCTCGCAGACGCAGTCCCTCACCGCCACCAGAGGCCGACAAGCTTCACCATTCTCCGCTCCAGCACCTGCTGCAGAGGGCTAAGGAACGGGAAAAGGGTACAGCACTGGGGAAAAGAGTGGGAAAGACAAAGGATTTTCTAAAAAATTCTCCTACTATCTCCGCCTCTCCATCACCATCACCATCGGCCAGTGTGATATCCACACACGGATGGATTGAGGGAAACGTGGATGGAAGTGAGGACGAGAAAGACGGGTGAGTCTTCATGCATTACTACGGGGAGTGTGATCTTGAACACACAATCTAAGTTTTACAGTAATGAACTGTTTTTAGTCAAATCATCAAGAATCACATTTGGAAACTATGAAAACATCAGATGGTGCACTCTTAGAAAAAAAGGGTTCAGTGGGGTTCTTTATAGAACCTTTTAGGGGTTCCAAAATATGTAGCACCTGATGGTTCTATATAGAACCTTTTCTTCTAAGAGTGTGACTTGTCATGCAAACGTTTTTTGAAGGGGCATAAGTTGCACTGGCTACTTATTTCATTCAAACTGACATGATGAGGGTATTATAATAGAATATTTCATCATATATTTAACATTGTATAATATTTCATTTGTATAATTAATTTGTAGAATTTTAATATTTTTTAACACTACATAGAAAGTAAGCACAGCTGCAAAAGAGAGGGTTGAACATAATGAGAAAAATGTAATTAAATTACCAACTATTTGGTAAATATATGCATAAATATACATATTAGGACTCCCATAAAGTCTAACAGCATCTGTCACATCACTTTGTTTAAAGTTTAAAACACCATTTTAAATGTGTTTATGCTTGTGCAATAGATATTAAACCCAAAAATAACCCTTACTGCCCAGTGGAAAATCAATCATTTTCATTTTAAGTGTATTTGTTCCATTTGTTAGATATGACTGTAGAGAGACTTCACTGCGCTGCGGAACTTGACAGTTTCATGTGCGTTATTTCTTTTCTCTGCCCACACACAATTCATCTCTGTACTGTTACATAAAATTCTCTCTAATTATTATATTCAAACCTTCGCTGGAAATTGTGAGGTAATTCTACCACATCATTGTTCTAAAATTTTACTGAAGTGTACATCTCTCATAAGGACCATTAGGAGTCAGGCTTTCCCTGAAAACAGAATTACATAGCATACATATGCAATACACTTAATAATGCATTTCTTTAATAGGTCATTTAAAACTTTATGTAATGCTCAGAATAGAGCAGAAGTTAATGTACAGTACATTCAAATACATTAGACACACATGAATTAAGCTTAATGACATTTCTAACTATTTTAATGTAGCCTATATGTGCTTTCCAGGGTCTTTTCTCAGGGTCTTTGAAGGTAGGCTAAAAGGGGTTCAGTAAAAATATCGTTAAACATTTTAATGACATTTCTAAATTTGAATAAACACTTCTTTATGATCAGATAAGCATTATATTGTGTCACAATATGAATTTCTTTTAACTCTTTCCCCATCATTGACGGAAATGTCCGTAATTTGTGAGAACGCTTCCCCGCCATTGACAGAATTTTCCGGCTTTTTCCACAATTGTACTGTAGGGAGGCGCTATTGTGCATCTCCTGAAAGAGTACAGAATCTCCTGATCAAAATGCAAGCAAACACGAGCGTTCCAATTTGTAATCAAATGCATATGTAAAATTACTCGACCATCAGAACGAGCTAAAGGACTGTGCAAGCATTGAGGGTGTTGATGGCTCTAGGTTTTGATCATCATTCTGATTCCGATCTGGATAGTCATTAAAGCTGCAGTCCGTAGTTTTTCCTCTTTGTTGCCATCTCTGTTCGAAATCTGCAGTTGCAATCATTCTTGGAATTGTCAACTTTACGTGAGTTGTACTTCAACACCCTCGACACGGCACAGATGAACACAATGTTTGAGGAGACTGTGCAGCTGTCAGTGTGGATCTGAACATCCACTTTTGTTCTGGTTCTGACATTCCGGTAAATCGCGCTGATTAAATCTAAAAATTGCTTATCATGTCACGCAAAACCGTGCAAATTATACTTTGTTCTCAAATTGTTAATTTTAACAACCGAGCTAAGAATCGAGCTAAGGCAAGCAGTTTTTAACACTGGCTGGTTATGTATTTTCTTAAATATGTATTTTGGATCATTTTATATATATTCTCACAAATTATATATATATGTTTTTGATAATTTTCACACACACAAAAAAAAAAATCTCATGGCCCCCGGACAACACATTCTCACCCCAAGGCGTCACCTTTGACCATGCTTCAATATTTGACGTTTTAGGCGCCCTTTAGCGTCACTTACATGACGCGAAAGGAAAGCTTCAGTTAGAGGACGCGGTTAGGTTTCAGCCCATTCTCACCCCCAAGGCATCACTTAACTGACGCCTTGGGAAGCATTTGGACATGCTTCAATATCTGACGCTTTAGGCGCCCTTTAGCGTCAGTAAAATGACACCCTAGGATCGCGTGTAACCTACCCCCACCCCACACCTAAACCTAACCGCGTCCTCTAACAGACGCTTTCCTTTAGCGTCAGTTAGATGACGCCGTAGGATCGCATCATGTAAGTGACGCTGAAGGGCGCCTAAAACGTCAAATATTGAAGCATGGTCAAAGGTGACGCCTTGGGGTGAGAATGCGTTGTAGGTTTAGGTATGGGGTGGGGGTAGGGTACACGCGATCCTAGGGCGTCATCTAACTAACGCTAAAGGGCGCCTAAAGCGTCAGATATTGAAGCATGGTCAAATGCTTCCCAAGGCGTCAGTTAGGTGACGCCTTGGGAGTGAGAATGTTGAATATCTGAACATGCAATAGAGCCTATCAAAAGAAAGAACAGAGCTTCTGCTTTTAAACAAACGTTTTATTTCTAGCGTCATGCATTTGTTTATCAACACTTGAATGTGGATAAGTCTCATCAAAAAAAAAAAAAATATATATATATATATATATATATATATATATTTGAAGAAAAGGCTGATAAAATCACGTTTATAACGTGCATGAGCAATGCTTTAATCGCTTGTTTCTGATCCTTTGTTGTCTGTGTTTTGATCAGGAGATCCTGTCCTCTTTTAGAAGACGTGTAATAGCGCCCCCTACAGTATAACAGTGAAACCATGGAAAGCCGGAAAATTCCGTCAATGTCACGAAAAGAGATAATATTAATCAAATGTATTTTTTCATTAATTTATACATCATAATATATCAACCCTATTTTTAGCCTATTTTAGACATTTTACCAGGGAAATAACAATAACCATTAGGCTAGTCTTCCGAAGACATTAACCCATTAACCTCTATTCTCTCATTTGTGACAGAAATGTCATGGAGGGCGTCAGTGTTGACTGGCCAGGCTGGTGTTTTGACGATGAGGAGGTTTTCGGTTTTGAGGACTTTGATGATGAGGACTGGTTTGACCCAAATCTGACCATAAATGAGCCTCGCAGGTCAGAGACGAAAAAAACAGAGCGGAAAGAAGACACTGAATGCAGTGAGGTGTAGCTTTTAGTGTACTATTGTCTAGTATGTAGACTTAGTGTAAATTGTGTGAAAAGTGTTTGCAAAAATGTAATATATAATAGTTCTGCGGTGTTGTTGAATGATTATGTAGCATGACTGTCAAATATATTTGATTGATAGATAGCTATATATTATATACACACACAGTCTTTGCATTTTTTATGAAAAATGATTAACATTGTGTCTACTGTATAGTTATAATTATGTAGGCCTAATTGTGTATAGAATTCTTTTTTCTCTTGTATAGTTCAATTTTAAGAAACTGCATTTAAGAAACCTATTTGTAAAACTGCACAAAAAAGAGAATTAAATTAAAACATGCAAAATTAAGTATTTAAATTTCTTTATTTACATAGAGTTTACATTTATTTTTGAAAATATATTTGCACCAAAAATTAGTTTATTCAAAATGCTATAGATTTTTATGTCGGTAATATATTTACAGTTTAAATGGACTGCTACAATTGTCTGCATTTTAAATGCACACATTAACATAAAGTAACACACAAAATTTCCACACAAAAACACACATTTACACACACACTGATCTGGGATCTCCAACACAAGGTTCAGTCATCTTAGCCTTGCTCTGTTGTCTCTGCTCTCGTTCAGTGGTGGCCTGGTGGACGATGGTTTCCATCGCTGGGTAAAGCAAGATCGCCTTCTTCTGTAGGAATAAATGGGAGGAATATGACATATAAATAATTGCAATCTCTTTTAAACTGAAACTGAAAGTATATCATTCTCAGTATACTGCATAAATTGCATTATTAAATCAAGACTGAAACGCACCCTGCGATAGTTTCTGTACATCTGGAACAAAACCAGGAATATCACCAAGAACAAAAATCCTAATCCCATCACCATAGCGGTTTTATTGCCAGGACTTGACTGTTCATTCTTTAGAGCACCTGTAGAAATGAACAAAACAGAGAATTAAGGACTTTTTAATTCTGAGTCCAATCATGATTCTATAAAATTTAGTTAATTTTTGATGTCCTTTACTGCTATATAACTGCTCTACCTACCCATGATGTGAAACTGATAAGTCACGTTCCCCATAACTCCTTGTTTCCCGTAGTACCGACACATCCATTCACCAGCATGTTCCTCAGTCACTTGTTTAATCCTGAAGCTATTTGTCTTCTGAACAGAGGTCACTGTTTGAGTGTCGTTTGGTCCATAAGTTACACGGAGCCATTCATAGGAAGTGATCTGGTCGGAGTTGCTGAGGTGACAGGTCAGGGTCACGGGTCCGTTACCACTGGATGATGAGGAGCTCAAAACTACACAGAAAAAAAATACATAAATAATCAGCATTCGGCAAATTCAGAAATCCACAGATCAGAAGTTATGAGGAAATTAAGCCCACTTTGATAAACAAAGGCTTTTTAAAAACTAACTCATTCAGGAATATAAGAATTTTTTAGACTGTGTGAATTGATAAAAAAGGAACTGCTGTTCATATATATGATTATAGAATATAGATTTATTTTAGGAAAGCCGAAGGTAATAACATTTAACAAAGTTAAAAATACTATAATATAAAATAATAAAATATTGTATTACTTTCTTTTTATTAAAAATATATTATATTAAAAATGAGAATTATTTTAATATGTCATTTGAATATATTTACTGTAACACATTATGCCGTTTGTCTCTTTTTGTAAAGCCACGTTGATAAAAGTTTAAAAGGTTTAGCTGACAAACTACTTCGCTCATATATTCGGACTGTGTATGATTCCACTCACCTCGAGCAACAACCAGCTCCATCCTTCTCTGTACTTTAATTCCCTCTCTTGTCAATCCCTGCATCCTTCCTGAGCACGTATACATCCCTTCATCTCCATCCTCCACTCTCTGTATAGTGGCAGACGCTGCGGACCCAAGAGACCAGTCGAAAGACGCAGGGAGAGGACGAGGAGACTCGGTTCTGTTCCAGGTCACAGTGTTTGGGATCAGACCATCAGTAAACAGGCAGGGCAAGGAGACGGAGGAACCAACAGCGGCGTACAACACTGAAAAGTCATCCTGAGGGGTGGAGATTCCTGGAGAGGGAACAGAAAAGGTGAATGAGCCACTCCTGCACAAGTTATTAATAAAAGAAGCCGGTGTTTACAGTAAAACAAACACTCACCTTTAACCTGTAGGTCTGCGGTTGTCTCTACTACCAGACCGCTGCTTGAAACCTGACAGGTCCAGATTCCTGCATCTCTTTGAGACACGTTAGAGAGGCCGGTTTTACTTATAAAATGGCCGTTTCTTTCACAGGTAACCTTTACAAATGGTGTCGTAGGATTAACATCGCACGTTGCCTCCGTTCTTGAGCCCTCAACCACAATTGCTGGAGAAAACGACACTGTGAAGAAAGAGAAAGTCTTACTGATTAGGCTATTTCCAATGGCTTATCAAAGAAGGACGGCAAATTCTTGGTTGGTTGTTTGTTTCTGTTACCTCTTATAACCCTGAGCACGAAGACCTTCACCATCTTAGTCTTTCCCTCAACCTCACAGACGTACTTTCCTCCATCTTTAATCGTCGTTCCAGTGATGTGAAGGCTGTAATCGCCCTTTCCAAAGTTGGGAACGGGGCAGTTTGCACGTGGTTGGTCTCTTACCGAACGAAACTCTAACCCGCTCTTCTCTCGCCGCCAAACTGTCTTCATTACACTAGGAAATTGAGAAAAGAGAGTGAGACTTTAAAATGGTCATCCTCTTGTGCTCATATGATTGTCAGGTTTTGGGTGGATGTGTTTATGGATGGATGAATGGATTGTATATGTTTGGATGGATGGATGGATGGAGGATTGTATGATTCAATGGATGGATGGATGATTGTAGAATTGATGTATGGATGGGTGGATGGATGGATAGATGGATGGATGGATGGATGATTGTATGATTGATTGAATGGATGGATGGATGATTGTATGATTGGATGGATGGATAATTGATTATACGATTGGATGGATAATTGACTGATTGGATATGATTGATTGAATGGATGGATGGATGATTGTATGATTGTATATGATTGGATGGATTGGTGGATGGATGATTGTATCATTGTATGGATGGATGGATGGTTGGATGATTGAATGATTGTATGGTTGGATGGATGATTGGATGATTGGATGGATGGATGGATGGTTGGATGATTGCATGATTGTATGGTTGGTTGAATGATTGTATTATTGGATGGATGATTGGATGATTGGATGGATGGATGGATGGTTGAATGATTGTATGATTGTATGATTGGATAGATGGATGGATGGATGGATGATTGTATGATTGATTGGATGGATGATTGTATGATTGTATGTGATTGGATGGATGGCTGGATGGTTGGATAAAATGTTCTTACTCTCCGTTCATCCGGCTCCAGTAGACTGCAGTAGGATATGAGAGCGCAGAGGACTCGTCCATACATGGCAGAACTGCTACAGAACCATGAGCCACCAACACTTCATGTTCCTGACACTGACCACCTGCAGAACACAGAAAGATTGCACATATAAATCAACAAGACGAAATAATATATTAAACAAGGTCATTAAACAACATTTTAAGGATTCAAGTCCTCTATCATGACCGCTCACCTCCAAAAACCAGCGCTAACCCCAGAACAACCACAAACGGTGTCATAGCTTCAAATCTTCTTGTTGTTACTTTGCAAAAAAAGAAAAGGCAAACCTCCATGCGTTGAAACCTCTTTCTCAGCTAACGTCTGCCGGCTCGGCTCTCTGTTCTTGTATATATAGTGCTGTGGGTGGTTGTGTGGGTTGCAGTGGTTGGGGAGGAGTTGCTCGATGTAGGTAGATCCTCTTTTTCTCTGCCTCTCGATGTCACATGACTTCTGAAGATAGTGAAACTGTTGATGTGCGGTCTGACTGACGTACTTTGGAAAAAGTTAGAGAGAAAGAGACACTGAGAGAGTAATAGAATGAGGGAGAGGCAACACTTGAGGTTTGGTTCTCCCACGGATTCACCAGGTCTATCGTGACTTTTCTCTCGACACGTGAAAAAGTTTATTTGAAAGTATGTCACTCACTTCAAAGCATGGAAACAAATTTATGTAAAACAAAAACAAAACAAAAAAGTAATATGGAAAATGTACACTGGCAAGAATGCATCTATTTATAAATAATTAGGGTGTGTGTATAAGCAGCTTTACAGAAGATGCATGCATGTATTATTGTCTATGTAATATTATTATGTGATATTACAACTTTATTTGCAGTTTTTCCACAGTTATTAATCATCATATTCCCTGTTTTCTTATGAATGTTTTCTATACTTGTCATTATATTTATTGCTGAAAAAACAGCATTGATAAATAAATCACACACAAGTATCAGTTTATGCTGTCTTTACATGCTACAAAATCATACCAAAATTCATGGATCATGCAAAGCATGCAGAAACCAATTTCAGGTAATAGTACAATATTAAATATTAAATAATATCTGTCATGTTCAAATATATACTAGGGATGTCAAATCGATTAATAGCAATTAATCGCACGTAACATAAATGTTTGTTTATAAAATATGTGTGTGTGTGTGTGTGTACACTCACCTAAAGGATTATTAGGAACACCATACTAATACTGTGTTTAACCCCCTTTCGCCTTCAGAACTGCCTCAATTGTATGTGGCATTGATTCAACAAGGTGCTGAAAGCATTCTTTAGAAATGTTGGCCCGTACTGATAGGATAGAATTTTGCAGTTGAGACATCCCAAAGATGCTCTATTGGGTTGAGATCTGGTGCCTGTGGGGGCCATTTTAGTCCAGTGAACTCATTGTCATGTTCAAGAAACCAATTTGAAATTATTCGAGCTTTGTGACATGGTGCATTATCCTGCTGGAAGTAGCCATCAGAGGATGGGTACATGGTGGCTATAAGGGATGGACATGGTCAGAAACAATGATAAAGTAGGCTGTGGCATTTAAACGATGCCTAATTGGCACTAAGGGGCCTAAAGTGTGCCAAGAAAACATCCCCCACACCATTACACCACCACCACCAGCCTGCACAGTGGTAACAAGGCATGATGGATCCATGTTCTCATTCTGTTTACGCCAAATTCTGACTCTACCATCTGAATGTCTCAACAGAAATCGAGACTCATCAGACCAGGCAACATTTTTCCAGTCTCCAACTGTCCAATTTTGGTGAGCTCTTGCAAATTGTAGCCTCTTTTTCCTATTTGTAGTGGAGATGAGTGGTACCCGGTGGGGTCTTCTGCTGTTGAAGCCCATCCGCCTCAAGGTTGTGCGTGTTGTGGCTTCACAAATGCTTTGCTGCATACCTCGGTTGTAACGAGTGGTTATTTCAGTCTAAGTTGCTCTTCTATCAGCTTGAATCAGTCGGCCCATTCTCCTCTGACCTCTAGTATCAACAAATCATTTTCGCCCACAGGACTGCCGCATACTGGATGTTTTTCCCTTTTCACACCATTCTTTGTAAACCCTAGAAATGGTTGTGTGTTAAAATCCCAGTAACTGAGCAGATTGTGAAATACTCAGACCAGCCCGCCTGGCACCAACAACCATGCTTTCCCATTCTGACATTCAGTTTGGAGTTCAGGAGATTGTCTAGAGCAGGACCACACCCCTAAATGCATTGAAGCAAATGCCATGTGATTGGTTGACTAGATATTTGCATTAAGGAGAAATTGAACAGGTGTTCCTAATAATCCTTTAGGTGAGTGTTTATCCAACTCAATTTAATATCTGTAGATATGATCAAACCATTATTTGATCAAAAAACAACAACAAGTACATCAAATCACACAATGGTTTAATTTAAATTAACAATCAGCCCAAAAACCATAAACCCATTAAAATGCCTCCAGTATATACTCAGTGGGCCTATATTACGTATATAAAACACAAATGTTTATGTTAGATGTGAAGAATTTCTGATTAATTGATTTGACAGCACTAATATTGTATGGTGTCTTCAGTGTAATTACATAATTTAATAACTAACAACATGTACTTATGCATTTGGGTTAGGGTCTGATTTAGGGATTGTTGCATGTAATTATGCATCATTTACTGTTTTACTGGAGTCAGTACATGTAACGTAACAAAGGCACTTTCTAAACATACTGTCACCATTGCATCAGGAATGCATTTCTGATAACCAACACTAATGAGTGGGTAAAAAACACAAATGCCATGTGTAATTTTAGCTCTCACCATGGCATCATTATTTGTTTATGTGGTTGTGCAAGGGCTGCTTTCTGTTATGTCAGCCCAGTCTCAGACCTGAGCTCCGGAATGCATTAGATTGAGCCGTTGATATGCGGATGTGCGATCAGCATATTCTCAAACAGCAGCACTTCCAGTAAAGACAGAGAGACTGTGTGCGAGTGACATGAATATGGGGGCTGGAGTTGTTTTGATGAAGAAAAGAGTCTGTGGCTGACTCAATCTCTCCCCTCCCATTTTCACTCCTCCTATCTGCCACAAAAGCAAGTCGCAGTTCCTTCCTTCTGTAGTCCACATTTATTGTTACATATGTAACATGTTATTGTCGTAACAACTAATTTATGCATAATTACATTTATCTAAGTAAGTACGTGTAGTTAATTCTTATACAGTAACTCTGTATTTAAATGTACAATAACAGTGTAACAAAGACAACTTAAAATAAAGTGTAATCAAATTTATTCACTGAATTTTCGTAAACGAGATACAAAGTATCAAACAGAGGGACTTCTGCAAAGAAAATGTGCTTTTCCTAGAACTAATGTCTTGTTTTCTTTGTTTTCAATGTGTGAAGTTTTCACGGGTGTTCCAGTAATAACATGTGTAGATCATAACATAACTATACACACGTTCCACTAACGTCAAATACCTTTGTTTTTCATTTTTTAACAGCATTGGTTTTAGGTTTTAGGAATATAGTTCAGATAACATAATATTTTGATCTCAATCTCCTTTTTTGTATTAACTCGATTTTTACATTTCAATGAACTTAAAATTTTAAGGCAGCCAGGTTACTTCATTTTCAACCAACAATATATGTTTTACAGTGTACTATGCTTTAAAAAACTGTTTTGGGACAAATATTTTACATTGAGTTTTTAAATTTGGGTTTGTCCATATTTGACCCGAACATGAGTTGAAACGTATTTATCATTTAAATTCACAATTTAATACGATGCATTTACATACATGTTTTTACATTGTACTTATATTTTTAAAAATGCCTGTAATTAATTTCTGTAATTACATCTAAAATCACCCTTAAACTATACACTCTAAAAACAGCTGGGTTGTTTCAACACATGTTTGGGTCAAATATGGACAAACCCAAGTTTTGGGTTTAACAATGTAATTAAAATGTTTAAACCAATGGTTGGGTTCGTCCAAATTTGACACAAGCATTGAAACAACCCATACCAAACCTGTCCCTAACCTGTATCTCCCTCAAAAATATTTTTCAATACAACAAGAACACAATATTGTACCTAATTTTTTTTTTTTAAATGTAAGAACTATGACACATAATATAAAGTGTGACCACTTTGTAAAACCTTATTCTTAATAGCTTGACATCTATCTATATATTTAGCTTTTTGAGGCTGCTGCGATCAGTGAAGAGCTTTAGGTGGAAATAGTAAGCTGGCACTTGAATATGTAGATATGTAAATCCATGGGAAAAAGCAGTGTGTAGGTATGCCTTCATGAGGTAAAGTATGGGAGGATAACCACAGATCTTCAGACTCTTTCAAGCTTAGATTCTCATCATTTCCTTCCTTTGTGTTTGTTGAGAGTTCTCATGCCGCTGTGTGTGTCCATATGCCCCCATTTCACCAGAAAACATCCAAATATCAAGCGGGGTCAAGGTGAACCGCTGCTGTGGTGATAGAGCATGCGGATATCAGCTTTCACTGTCTTCAGATCAGAGGGGGCGATGTGAGAGTGTGATGGGGTCTTTCCTATTGACTGTATGTGGCTGATACAGCTGATTTGAATAACAGGAGAGCTGGGGAAGACCTACGTGAGCCCCTGATGTGGAAAAAAGACACTGTCACGAGTGGGAATATTAAATGCATGCAGATAGCGGAGAGGATGGAACATATTAATACTGATTATGGCAGGATTGTGACTGAGATATTACATATTCCTTCCCCACTGACCCCCTCAGTCATTACTTTCTCATAAGCACAGACACAGAATCCTTCTGTCTACATCTGTCTAAATCCTTTACCTTGAAAATTAATAACCGGAGTCATTTATTTATTCAGTTTTCGGTAGCACTTTATCCTGTTCCCCATGTAAATAATATTATGTACTTATTAATTACTTTCTATACACTGTAAGCACACTGTTAACCCCTTATACATCCAGAATACCAATTGAACGACTATGGACAAATGTATAAATCAACATAAAATCTTACTGATTGACCTAAAATTGGAAAAGTATAAATATATTTGGTGTTTTTATTTGTTTTATAATATTTCTAAGTATAGATTTTTGTAATCTAACATTTGGAAAGAAAAGCTATTTATTTTATCAAGGATAGTAAGTTATGTTTGGGCTCAATCTCTCAAAAATGACGGTTTCCCCTCCCCCATGGCACAGGAAACATCAAAGTTCTCGCAAAAATTATGTTTTTCCCTCCCCATGGCACAGGAAAGAATTATTAGTTCTCATGAGAATTAACTACAATGGTTCTCGCAATACAGATGTGGTTCTGTTTGGTTAGAGCCCTAAAACAGAGGGACGTTTTTTGA